AAGAAATAGACATCGTTATGATGATAGGCCATTAGCTCCACCACCTGCGCCCCCGCCAGTACCTCAAACAAACAGGGACAGTCTACCACCACCTCCATCTCCACCACCTTCTGATCCCTACACAAACAATTGTCCACCTGTCACTCAGATGACCAATAAAATGGGCAGAGGAGATTCTATCAGAGACTCACCGAGACACAAGTTTACTCCGTAAGTTTTAATCATCCTACACAAGTTTTAAGAACATAAAATTAGTAGATATGTCACATTGTTATTTCAGTTTACATTTACATTTTCTCATTTACATATTTTCAAATAAGTTAATGTCTCATTATTTATATTATATATATATATATAGATGTCTCATATCAATAATAGTAAAGAAAAAAATGCAGAAATATTACACTAATATAGATGTCTCATTGTAAATAAAACTAAAAAATGCAATAATATTACATTAATAGTCTTTTTATTACTTTAGTCTGTGTCTTTTATATATGTCACTTAACATTCCACAGAAATGAAAATGATCTACCCCCACCTCCACCCTCACCTCCATTTAAATATCAACCAAACAATCAAATTCAGATTTCTGTGCCCCCTCCTTCACCACCACCCTTGTCACCAACACCCAATGAGAATGTCCACCAGTCCCCACCCCCGCCTCCTCCTCCACCACCACCACCCCCACCACCAATGGCAGTAAATGGGAATAATATATCTGGTCCCTTGGCATCGTCTGGTCCTACCAGGCCAGATAGGAGTGCTTTGATGAAAGAAATTATTCAAGCTGATGGTAAAAGAATTTATTTTTGAAATCAAAATACTTTTAACATATTAAAGAGATGTTAAATTTATGAGATAGATTATGTATGAACATTCAGAGTGGGCCTCACCAATCCGTTGTTTAGTGTGGGCCTCACCAATCTGTCGTTTAGAGTTGGTCTCATCAATCTGTTATTTCATCATCATCAAAACTCCATTTGAATGAGGGCTTTAGAGGCTCAAATCCTCTCTTGCAAAAGCCCTGGACAGAAACCCTGCTGTCTTTGCGTAGTGCATACATGTCACCATACAGGTCAAGAATTTATGGTTTTCCAGACCTGTCGAGACGGAGATCAGCAAGTCTGGGGCAGTCAAACAGAATATGAGGCACAGTTTCCTCTTCTTACCCGCAACGGGGGCACCATGAGTCAAAATTTGGCCATAGCCGTGAGAAATATGAGCCAACAGGACAGTGGCCTTGTCCTGCACTGTGCTATAATAGCTTGCTTAGTTAGGCCTGGACAGCCTCCACTGCAGAGAAGTGTAGTCAGGGCGCCTCATGCGCTCCCAGACTCCATGGGCTTTTTGGGACTTGTCCCAGCACTCAAACCACTTTTCCATTTCTGTTTTTTGAATTATAGTTAGAGCATGATGAAAACTTACAGCCTGTTCGGTGGGTGGAATTTGCCCTCCCTGGTGGGCCAAGGAGTCTGCAATAGTGTTGCCAGTCACACCTATGTGACTCGGTACCCACTGCATTATTATTTAGAGTTAGCCCTGTTATTTGAGTTGACCTCACCAATCTGTTATTTGAGTTGGCCTCACCAGTCTGTTATTAAGAGTTGGCCTCACCAGTCTGTTATTAAGAGTTGGCCTCACCAGTCTGTTATTTAGAGTTGGCCTCACCAATTTGTTAATTAGAATTGGCCTCACCTGTCTGTTATTTAGAGTTGGCCTCACCAGTCACCAAGGAAAAAAAAAAATGTTATGTGATTACTATTTTTTTTTCCCAGCCAATAAACGTTTGCGTAAAGTAGAAGCTAGAGACCAAAAGAAACAACTGCCTTCAGCTCCAGATGTTCTGGACGTGCAAGCTATTATGGACAAGGCTATTGAGATGAGGAGGAAAGTCATTGAAGTAAGTGATAGTGGAGGAGAGGAGAGTGAAGACGACTGGGAAGATTCTGATTGATAGTTTGGTTCTACGACAACACTGCAGGAGGTATAGGGTCTTTTTATAGACGGATGTTTCTTCTCTAGACTATTGTATTCACTTTATGTTCCAACATTATATGTTGACATATATATCATGTACTTTATATATATAGTTATATATATATCAAGTCATGGCTCAAGTCAAGCTGTATGTATGTGTATTTTAATACATGGCTCAAGTCAAGTTGTATGTATGTGTAATAGTAAAATTATGGCTCACATATAGATGTATATGTAATTTTCAAAGTTGGCATGCTGTTGAGCTACTCGTACTACTAAATGATAAAAGTAACACTTGTAACTGTAATTAATGTTGAAATGTTGATATTTCAATGCTAAAAACAAAAGTTGACATGCAGTTGTTTTTTTTAATTAGTCATGTAAATTTAAAAAAAACAAATTAATTGTAGGCATAACTATTAGGGAACAAGTTCTCTCTGTGTTGTTGTTAAGGTCTTCTAGTTAGAAGAAAATAATTATCTCTGTGTAGGCCTTCAGCTCTATTTGGAAAGGTCTTCTCTTTGTTTGCCTCCAGATGTAGATAAGTCTGGTCAACAGCTCTATTTGGAAAGGTCTCCTCCTTGTTAGCCTCCAGATGTAGATAAGTCTGGTCAAGACTTGCCATATATAACTATGGTTAGTTGTGCGTGCATCTGTTGACATCTTCTGAAAGTAAATTTTTATATCTGTCCAGATGTGTGTACATCAAATTATCATCATTCATATGTATATTTGTATATCAACCCAGTTGTGTGCATTAGGTGATCATCATCTGTATGTGCACTTGAATATCTGTCCATGTGTATGTATAAATGATTAACCATTTTTTTGTATGTATCTGTCCAGTTGTGTATCTCTTGTGATGAAACACATTTTGTGTCTTGGAATGATGGTTACAGATCTGAGATATTTGCTAACAAATATGTATTTTAAATCATGTAGTATACAACTGAGTTGTAAGAACTTGATTACCTGAATAGCTTACATCAGGAACCACTCATTTGGTCTAAAAGTGTGGCTTGATTTTATGCTGAACAATGTGTTAGACACACTAGTCTGTTATGCAAATTATAGGTGACCATTATTTTGCCCTTGAAGCATTGACACAATAGTCAAGGGATTGAATTGTGTACCCCAGGAAGAAATTTAACTGTGGACTCCTTAGTGCTACTCACTGCTGAGCTCTTTTGTTAGTCAGTATTTAGCTAAATAGTGCTTATAGCCTTTTTCTAACAATAAAGATCACTTTGGAGTAATCGTTGCATTTCTGATGGCACAGGAGGTTTATTAGCAATGCACTGGGAATTTCTGTCTTGAATGTGTTTCTATTTACTTACTATACAAACATTTTCATACTGACCTCTAAATTCTAGTCTTTAAACTTTGACTTACATTCCTTTTCAGTACTGTCTTTGTCTTTACTTTTACCCACAGCTTACTATTGAACATAACACAGCAAAATTGTTTTTCTTTAATTCTGAAGAAGTCTTGGTATGGTCTGTATTAGTACTAATTAAACAAGTAACTGAACAACTTAAGGAAAGAACTGGGTATATCAAGCTGATAATATAAACTGTGATGATGTGTGAGCTGCCTATATCTTGTACTCATCCTGTACATAGCATCAAATATATTCTTACTTCTGCTGTACATAGCCTACTGTTTGTAGCTTACAATTGTGTCTTAAACTACTGATACTTTTTTATAATGCTGGCTCCAGTGCCAGATTTAACCCTTTGGAACTTGTGTGGTCATGAAAACTCCCGCCTCTCTTCATTGTTTTATCCTTAAAAATATGAGTTAAAAAAGCTTTCACTCACTCGCATTTCTGTTTTTTTTATTAATTTTTAAAAATTAGAAATGTATTCAGAATAATTCTTCTATTGAAATGCCATTTAGTTCAAATATTCTAATGGACAATGTTTTTATGATAATAATCTCAACACTTTAGATTTGCAATTATATTATAAAGTTCTTTTTGTATAATTTTGTGTTAAAATGAATAAAGTAGGAGCTATGTGCACGTATTATCATGAGATACGCTTTACATATTATCATGAGACATCCCATAATTTTTTTTTAGACTCGTGTATTATCATGAAATTAGATTTTCTCACTAGAGACACCAATTCACATGCATGTTTAGTTTATGACACACATAGTTTTATCATTAGAGAAACATACTTAGCTTATTGAGACTCTATCATGTTACATATTTTAGAGGGACTCACATTATCATGAGATATATTCTACTGATACGCACACATATTATCATGTCAATTTCATACATATCCTTTATTACTGCCGGAAGCATTGATGTCACTGAAACATTGATGTCATTAGACGTTCTACAAGATGTTGCATAATTGTTCATACACATATTTTGATTAGGATTTTGTTATGTAAAAGTGAACTCAAGAGACCAAGTCAAATGTCAGTTACTGTGTCATTAGTGAGAATAATAGAGCCCTTATGAATTTACCCCCCTCCCTTCTTTTTTTTTTGTCACCATATCTATTTTGGGCAAAACAACAGAATGATTTTATAAGCTTTCTGGTTGATAATACTCTAAGAGCAGACTAATCTGGCCACAGCATTTCCTCAACCAACTAGAGTTGTGACTCCTGCATAGTTAGCTTGTTTCACTTTGGCAACTTGTGATTGATGACTTTGTAAGAGCCTGACATACGACACTGTCAAATGACTTTTCTTCTTGCTGTCAAAGGCAGCACAGTGTAATGTAGCAGAGAAGAAGTGAAAGCAACCAATCTACTATAGGCCTGGTAAACTTTCTTTGTTCAGTGCTTCTACACTCAATATAACATTAATACCAACACACAGCAAGACTTGCACTAAAAAATTCCAAATTGATGTGAACATTCTGAAGTATTCATGCCATAACTTAGACTCTTAATGAAGTACCCGGGTATGTAAGTTTGACCCTAGTCTAGCTTTATGTAAGTTTGACCCTAGCTTACAGAAGATGGCGCAGGGGCTGAATGGTAAAGAGCTTTCAAACCGGGGGGGGGGGGGGAGGGTCCCAGGTTCGAATAATGATGAAGACTGGGATTTTTAATTTTGGGATCCTTAGAGCTTCTCCGAGTCTATCCAGCTCTGAGTACCAGACATTAGAGGAACTTTACTTTTTTTTTTTTAGCTTGCAGATAGACTCAATGAGCCAGTGCACATAGACAATTATTAAACTATCATATATCACATATACTTTTTTTGGTTTAATCTCACAAAATCCCTTTCATTTTCTTCGGTTCCTGTGTACATTTGTTTTCATATTTCAGTGATATTTTGATAAACTTTACAAATTCTTTATTGGTGACTGTTTCTCCATGAAGAAGATTCTGACAGCGCCCCACCCTGCACAGTATGAACTTCCACTCTTTTTATTACAATGCACCCTTTTGATGTATAGGTTGTGATCCTCAGAATACCGCTCTCCAACATAAGAAGTTTCAAATAATAATTCACTAATTGAACCTTTTGCTCGGATTCATATAGTACATAGGTTATATCATTTGCATTTTTTTTTTGCGTGTTTCCTATGTTATTTAGTTGGCAGATGTATTTAAATGAAGAAAATGCAATCATAGAATACCATAATTTTTTTTTTGTTGTTGTTTTGATTGAATTTTAAAATGCATTTTTACCGAGTAACTAATCCAATATTTAGAACTATAAAGCCATGACTTTCTTAGTCCCGTGGAAATAACCAATCAACCTCCTAGGTCCAGGGGTTATATCTGGCTCTGATGAAATGTAATAAATAAGCACGTTTTTTTTTTTGTTTTTGTGGTCACATTCACTCCTCGTATTCTTGAGTTCCTTGTAGAGACTTCACCTAGCATGCTATACTAATACAACAATCTCATTTCATAGTTGTAAATCTTCATTGTGCATTGACTTTGACTGGCAGTAGAAACGTCATGACTTGGATATTTAAAGATATCTAGCAGCTTGTGCGCGACTAGAACGGAAGGACAGAAAATAGAATTTTCAAAGGCACCAAAAATGCAGCAATTATAAAATATAAAATAGAAATATACCGGTATCGTGTTTGTAAGTTTCTGTTGGACCAAAATTTCGTACCGGTACTAATAGTATTTTTCAATGTTAAAGAGTTCAGCTACCCATTTTGTAAAATTCTTAAATGCTTGCCGATGTAACACTGAATCCTTTTTTTTTTTAATATACAAAATCATATGCAGAAGTGACCAATAAAATGTCATACCAGTTTGACAAAGACTCGGCAATGTTTAATTTCTAGAAGGATTTTTTCTAAAGAATTAAGGGAGGGGCAAGGGATAAAGAAGCAACCCACACACGCATATATATATATATATATATAAACAGCACTGAGTCTGTGTGTTGTCATAGATTGTCACAGCACTGAGTCTGTGTGTTGTCACGTCTTAGAGCATTAGTCGCCTATCTGCTGCTTTCCTAATTAACCAGATCGAATGGAACACATCAAGTCTTCCAATACCCCCCCCCCCCCTTTCTTCATTTATACTCAAGAGCAAAAAGGCTATAGTGAGTTGTGCAATTTTAGTTCTGAAGAAGAAAACGGAATAGTGTAAATACCTGGTCCAAAATTAGCAAAGAGAAGTGAGCTCTAACACACTGTGTAGTCTGTACGTTCTGTGTCATTGTCCCAACTCGGGCTTGGGATTGTGATTTGTCTTTGTATTGACATAGTGCACCTCCACTGTATGCTGCCACTTCTGAAACTCTTTTCATTGGAAAATAAAAACCTTTAAACTACAACTTGAGAGTCTTGTTGTTATTTAGATTTAGTGGATATCAATATTAAAACTAAATAGAAAGAAATGCTTCAACATTTCACTGTGTTCAAATAGTCCACAGAATGCCAAACAAAATGAATGAAATGTTAAAAGGAGATATTGTTGGAATCAAACCTCTGCTAGATCTAGATTTACTGAACAAATAAGTAACTTGAATTCCTCTACGTCAGTGTTTTCCAATTAGAATAACTATTAGCCCACCACGTGAATTTATCTCTCTAAACCAAATAAGCAAAGTGTTCCGCTAAATACTCTTAGAGTGTGCGAAGTGTTCCGTTAAGGAAAAAGTTTGTGAAACTCTGCTCTACATTGATGTTTGTGATTAGAATGTAATTTCGTGTATTTTGCTAACAAATCTTTTTCTAACATAATACCGGCATTATCACAAATCATGTTTGTGACTGAGGGCTATACGTTTTTAGATCCCCTGTAAATTTTGTCTTATTGTACTCCAGGTACTGAGACACTTGTCCATGGATAGTTCGGGGGGTAGTTATATTATATCATGGCGGGTTCTAGACATTTAGTCTACCCCTACACACATTCACGTGGACCTGTTGACCAGAATCTCATCATCTCGTGCAAGCCATGGTAGAGCAAAACTGTAAATATAGCCCTACCATTATGATAAACAAACACGGTTTGTAACTATATACCGCCCCCCCCCCCCCGCTCAAAAGGGCTAAATTTGCAATCGTAGTGTTAACGATCACTTCACACATCATACTATCTCAAAATATAAACCATCGTGGTTACACACATGAACCAAAAAAAAAGGAAGGGTGGTATCCTTCATACATTCTTCACACTTCAAACAAACTCAGTGACAAATCAATAAGTATTGTACTCTCAGTAAATACAGACAAAATATTACATCGACAAGGCTATCGAACTAGCCATGATACCTACACAAAAGAAACAATGTACCTGCTCCCTCAGAAAACAATCCGAAAAGAAACTCATACAAGATAAAATAAAATACATTTCCTCCTCATGAACACAGTTTATACTTCCCCAAACGTGTGAAGGTAGGAATAAAAAATTACATGATACAAAGCCGTTGAAAACACATTTCTCTCATATGTAATACTACTATCACAGCGTAGTGTGTGACTATCAAACAATGATCAAAGTCAGTGATGCCCAAAATACGGACCGCGGGCCAGATCTGTCTCGCGATATGGTTCTATCCGGCCCGCATGTCGAATTAGGTTGGACATCACTGATCTAGGTCATGTAAAGCCATCCAATAGAACCCAAAGAGTCCATCAGTGACTCTCTCTTTATATAACAATTTAATATGAAAACTAAATCCATCTTTAATTACATCTAAATTAATTTAACCTGCAATAGAAACTTATAACAAAATAGACGACAATCTTTAACACTGACAAGACAAAATGAATACTGTAATTAGGCCTACGTTTCGAGGGCGCGGTGACTGAGTGGTTTAGCATTTGGCTTCCAAACCTTGGGTCTTGGGTTCGAATCTCGGTAAAGACTGGGATTTTGAATATCGGGATTTTTAGGGCGCCCCTATGTCCACTCAACTGTTATGGATACCTGACTTTAGATGGGTAAAGTAAAAGCGGTTGGTCGTTGTTCTGGCCACATGACACCCTGCTCCACGACGGTTAGTCAAAGAAACAGATGATAGATATAGATCGCAAGGTCTGAACAAAAAAAACAACCGTTTCACTTAAACAGGCTAGTAATGTAACAGTTACCAAACAGCAAAGCTATTGTAAAAAATGTTTTACATGTTTCGGATGTTCCTTCAGAGTTGAAGATAGTTTACTTCCTAGTCCAAACCTCTCGCATGACGACGCTGGATGGGAGCGGGCAGGATTTGAACCCTCGACCATCGATAAATCCGAACGACAGTCCAGCGAGCAAACCGCACGACCAGGCAGCCATCCTTTACTCTTTACTATTCTTTACTGGGCAGTGACTTAACACACTTGCTCCCACTCATAGTTAAATACAACCGTACTAAAATAAACTAGACTTAGTAAACATTTTCCAGCTATAAAAAAAGTAAGAGCTGTCAAATTTATCTCTAAAACCCCACCTCTTTCTTCTCCAAGGTCTATACGAATGGGATGTAGTCTCCCTCCTCGTCCCTCTAGTAACCTCTCTCTCAGCAGTATCATTGTCTACTCTAGATACAGGGATGTCTATTAAAGCCATTTGAATTTATGGTGTAACAGGTTTACATTACTGTCTGGTGCCGTACGCTGACACAGCCCACACGAAGAACAAAACTTCCAAACATCAGTCGTCATGCCCGTCTAATAAAACTCCTTAGTTACTATGTCTTAGACTAAGGGTAAGGTAAGTTGCCATGTCTTACACTAAGGGATAGGTAAGGTAAGTTACCATGTCTTAGACTAAGGGATAGGTAAGGTAAGTTGCCATGTCTTAGACTAAGGGATAGGTAAGGTAAGTTGCCATGTCTATTGTTTTCTTAGTTCCCAAACGCCCACCAGACAAAGCCTCGTGACATTCTTCGGGTACTTCTAGTTGAGTAAGACTAAGACTAAGACTGCTTTATTGATCCTTACGGAAATTTGTTGTGATTACAAGGACTCTTTTCTCATATAAAGACAACACGACAGAAAAATACACACACATACAACAGACAACATAAAGAGTTCATTCAGCAACTACACACAGGTATCTTGGTGCATTTCATGTTCCCTGATCAATGAGTGGCGGTGATAGAGTCTGACCGAGTGAGGTACGAACGAGTTTTTGTACCGCTCTGTTCTTGTTTTGATTGACAGCAGTCGCCCACTTCGCGACGACCTGTCGTAGTTCTGATGGAGCGGGTGGCCGTTGTCTTCCAAGATTTTTTCGATTTTTCTTAGGCACTTTTGTTCAAAAAGCTCCTTTAAATGTGGCAATGTTGTAAGTGTAATTTTAGATACTTTTTTAATGATTTTTTCTGGACGTCGCGACAGTTTAGATGAGGCGTTGCCTTGCCAACAAGTTATTCCGTATGTTAGCAGACTCTGCATAGTCGCGCGGTAAAATGTCTCAAGGATCTTCTTGCTTAGTTTAAAGCTATTGAGTTTGTATAGAAAAAAAGAGTCGCTGGGCTGCCTTCTTTGTCAGAGTTCCAAGGTGGTCTTCCCATGAAAGCTTGTTGCTGATGATAACACCTAGATATTTATATGCCTTTACTTGTTCTATAGATGTAGTGTTTATTTGCAGTTCACGTATAGTATGTTTTTTCTTTCTAAAATCTATTATAAGTTCTTTAGTTTTTGTTACATTCAGTTCTAGAAAGTTGTCGGTGCACCCGTTTGTAAACTCTTCTATCGAGCTTCGATACTGAGTTTCGTCTCCTGAAATAAGACCGACTATGGCAGTATCATCAGCGAATTTAATGAGTTTAACTGAGTCATAGATGCTTCTTATGTCATTAGTGTAAAGAGTGTATAGTACAGGAGAAAGTACACAACCTTGTGGAGCACCCGTACATAGTACTCGAGTTGACGATTTGGTGTTGTTGACTTTAACATACTGGGGCCGTTGGGTTAAAAAGTTTAGAACCCATGCTTGTAAGTAAGGGCTTACATTTAAGTTACTCAGTTTGTTTATCATTAGATGTGGCTGTATGGTATTGAAAGCCGAGGAGAAATCTACGAAGAGGACTCGTGCGTATGTTTTGGGTATATCGAGATGCTTATAAAGCTGGTCCAAAAGCAATAGACATTACCCTTTTGGTCCACCAACTCACTTTACAACAAACCATTCTTGATAACAAATCTCTCTATTCCCCAGTTAGATGGTCGGGTCCTACCTATCCCATCCTCTCTCTCTCTCTCTCTCTCTCTCTAAGGATGGGACATACCTTTAAGCTTGTAAAACAAAAAAAAAATGATCTCGGTCCGTACAGGCGGGTGGAATAGGTGGCGTTATTATAGGCTCCATAGCCGCCTTCTCTCTTTTCCATACCACGGGCCACTACTCTCGCAATCTCTACGCACACTACTTCCCTTGAATAATAATAATTACCGTAATAATAATTTTATTTATAGAGCGCTGTTAGGGTTAACAAACATAATGTAGGCTCAAGGCGCTGTAATAACATCAGAAACATAAACACGAGAACTAAAATGACAAACTAATCTAAAAAAGTTGTAATCAGGTAGGTCTTAATGTTCTTCTTGAATGTAGAGGGAACCGTGGTCGAGAGGCTAATTGCGCTAAAATGACAAACTAATCTAAAAAAGTTGTAATCAGGTAGGTCTTAATGTTCTTCTTGAATGTAGAGGGAACCGTGGTCGAGAGGCTAAGTGCGCTTGATTTTAATGATTTAACTGTATAGAATTTAGCCCTTGGTGTGTAGAGAGAGTAGTCCTTAAAGGACTGTAGGTGAATAGACCTTGATTTTAATGATTTAACTGTATAGAATTTAGCCCTTGGTGTTTAGAGAGAGTAGTCCTTAAAGGACTGTAGGTGAATAGACCTTGATTTTAATGATTTAACTGTATAGAATTTAGCCCTTGGTGTGTAGAGAGAGTAGTCCTTAAGGGACTGTAGGCACGACATGGCCTAAATTGTGCCGATGTGCCTAAAATCAAAATCAAATCAAATCAATAAAAAAAGATGATGTTTACGCCCTACGCGTCATGCATTAAGTCATGCATAGGCGCTTCAATATGAGAGACTACCTTTATCATTCCATTCTAATTAGAAGATCGTACTCTAGCTAAATCCCTTTTAGAAATAATGGGCAGTCCCCGAGCCGGCCCTGTCGTGTTCAACAGGCTCTGTCTGAGTGCTACTACACACCTTGGGTCCATTTACATAGTCAACCTTTTCTTCTATATCTCAGTTGGGCGCTACATGTGAACCACCCCAAACTATCATAATAGACGTCCATTTGGGATGACCCCTAATAAACACATAATTTGACCTGCAATCGTTCACAACAGAAGAAAGCCCCTGGAC